ACTCAAGGTGGATCTTAGCGAGCTGGTGCTGGCTCGACAGGAATCCAAGTAAACAAAAAATAATCTAAAGCTGGGAGAGCATTAGCCGGGAAACAGCCTCGTTGCTTTGAAAGCGAAGGGTAACTTCACGCGGCGGCGGAGCAGCCGGGGTCCGGGCACGGTGCTGGCTGGGTGCTCCCGAGCGCTGGTTTCCCGCTGGGAGAAGCGAGTGCTGCTGCACGTCTGGAGGATGAGATGCTTATGGGGAGCTTGAGATACGGAGCTCCAGCTGGGATCCTGGAGGTCAGTCAGGAATGGCAGGTATAGAGGAAAGAGGGGAAAAAAAGAGCGATATAAAGGGAAATACAACAGCGATTTTGCAAAATGAAGCTGAGACTCTGAGCAAACGCGCATGTATATTGCTTGTGTACGCACGTCCTCAAACCTCAGTGTGTGCTGATTGTACCAGCAAACGAGCCGTAAGACAAAATTCCCGTTTGCTCGTGAGCTGGCAGGATGCTTTCTTGGCCACCGGCCAGCGTTTCTTCATCCGACATCTTCATCTTCAAAATTTTGGGCAACTCCCTTTGGCCCCACAAAGAGTTAGTGTCTTTCCAGCCCGATGGAAGTATGTTCAAATTAATAGTTGGTGGGTCTCTTACTGGTGCAGCAAACCTGAATCCACCCGGCTGCTTGGTTTTTGAGCGATAGCCGCTCGGCAACGCTAGTGTAAGGCTGGTGTTGGTCGTGGTTTCCCTTGCTTGCCGTGGGCTTCGGGCACCCGCCGGCTGCCGCAAGGTAGTTGCCGCCATCTCCTCCAATGCCCTCACCTTGAACAGGCACGATGTCGCCTTGCTTGGGCTCGGGGCTTTCGGGAGCCTGGGGGATTTCATCTGCTTGGAGCAAACCCGGGGCTGCCGGGGATGCCTGCGAGCGCTGGTCGGCGCTGGCTGCGGGAATAGCTGCTGGGTTTTCCTTCATGGGGACCAGATGTGCCGGTGCTGCTGTTTTGGCACGCTCGGCTGCCTGCATTTCGCTCTCGAGACGTAGTAGAGGGACTGCTGAGCAGGGTAAGCCCCGGACTCTCGGTTTCACAAACCCCAAACCAGCTGAAATAGCTGGTTGCGTTGCAAAAAGCAGAAACTTGCTTTGCTCTTTGATGCTCTCCTCACAGGCAACTTTTTTCGGCGTAACTTGATCCTTTTTACAGTGAGCGGGGCAGGAGATGGGCTCCTCCTGTTTGCAAAGTTACCGTAAAACTTCCAGACCAGTTTATTTGTCTTTCTGGGTTTGTTTTATAATTTTTTCTTTTTTTCCCCTCCTTTAATGTTGCAAGCGACTTCCCGGTGCTGGTCGGCGGAGAGTGCAGCTGACCTTCGGGAAGGGCGGCGGGCTGTGCAGCGCGTCCCCGACCTGTGCCAAGGCATCGCCATGGAGCCAGCTGCCATTTCTACCAAATTCTGCTGGTTTTGCTCAGAAACAGTTCCCAGAATATCAATTTAGCACTGTCAGTCCTTGTTCGCTTACAGCTCTCTGATGCTGCTCTTCTCTACCGGGGTCAAGTGCCCTGCATTTAGCTGGCTTTGGTCTTTTTTCTTTTTTTTTTTTTTTTTCTTTTTTTTTTCCTTTTTTAAGTTTATCGCTGCCTCCGCGCCGGGCTGGCGGCAGGGCATCGCTGTACACAACCCGAGACATTGACTGTCTCGAGGTGTCACCCCGTTTCAGGACACAAATGCCTGTTGATCCACCAACTTTCTGCTGGCACGTTGACTCACCAAGGGTGAGGTTTGGGTCCTGAATGAGCCGCTATATTCCCTGCCCCATCCGCGTGCACGTGCCCGGGAAGCTTGTGGCCCCCTAAAAGCTATTTACTGTACAAATTGCCCATCGGGTCTCTCCTGCAGCATGCAGTTATTTAAGAGGGTGATGGAGGCACGGCATAGCTGCGATCATTGAGATGGAATAATCAGGCTGGGTGATGGTGAGGTGGGTGATGCCCATTTCAGCTGCGGGGTGCTGCTGGTTTGAGGGTTTGTTTGCAGCTGAGTATGAAGATCCTCTAGTCTGAGCCATTTCCCCAATGTGAGGAGGTGAAAATGAGAGTGTTCCCCAGCCTGGTCTGCTCTCCTCGTACCGTAAAACCTCCACGTGTTGGAATAGGAGAAGATGGCTGGGAAGCGCCTTTGCCTGTGCGGTGCAGGGTGTCGGTGCTGAGCTGGGGATGCTCTGGGGGATCATGGCTGCCCCGTCCCGCTTGACCCATTTGGCTTCAGTGTCGAGAGCTGCTCGTGCCTTGGGCACGGAGAGCAGAGCCGAAACTGCTTGAAACCAGATCTGCTCTTTAGTGTTGTCTTGCACCGATTCCTTTTTTCTGTGGTGTTTTGTTACCCTATACACTTTCTTTGGTATTGGAGTAATGAACTGAAATCCAGTGGCTAAGCAGAGCTCACTTCATTATTCTGTTGCTTTTGACGTTGAGGCTGGGTGTATCAGCCAGAAAGGTCTAGTTTTGCATGCGGCTTGGGCAGCCCTTTTTGTCGAGGACCAAACCAGCAGACACCCCTTTTTGTCGAGGATGTCGTCCTGCTCCTGGCCTTCTGTTTCAGAGATCTGAGTGGTGCTGGCCATGAAACCTGAGCAGCTGGATGTTTTTAGGGAGCAGAAACACCAATCCAAATAAATAGCGGATGCTCAACGCTGCTTAGCCTTCCCCCACTGGGACTTGCTGTTGTCCCTAAGCTTGGAAGTGCACGTGCAGCTGAAGATCTGGAGATGTTCAAAAGCGCCTGTGCCACTTTGCTTGAGATAGGGTTTAAAAACAAACCAGAAACAAACAAAAACCGAACCTGGTGCTGTTACGGTAGTGCAGGTCCCACTGACTTTAGTTACCCAGATGAGTGATGGAAAGATGCTGGAGATGGGGGGGGGGAAGGGAGAGCAGGGTGGGACCGGTGGCAGGTGCTTGTAGCGGGGTTGTCACTGGGTTTCCTGAGGTCTGGCTTGATGCAGGGGAAGAAATCAGGATCCGAGCTGGCGGCACGCAGCTCATCCCCGGCAAGGCAGGAGAGCCGCTGCCTGCCCTGCCCTGCCTCTCCCGACGCCCCGGCCCCCTCGGCACCGGCACA